AGTGGGCCCAGCAGGTGGGATGCATTCTCTTGTCCAGTCCAGTGCAATAAGGTGTTTATTGAACACCTGCTATATGCGAAACAGTCCGAATAGCTCTCGAGTGTGGAGAGATGTGGAAGGCATGGTCCTGCCTCTGGGTAGCTTAGGGTTTTAATAAAGCTAATTTACTTGGTAGCTAAGCCTAAAATAAGCGTTGCCCACCATCTTGGTGTTTTATAGAAGTCATAATTGTTCAATAAATTTAAAACAAAGGGATCTGAAACGAGTGCACAGCTCCTTCTCCCGCACCAGTCGCACTCCCCAGTGAACAGTTTGCGTATGTGATCCCAATTTTTCCATCTCCATATAAGTAGATTTCGAGAAACCAAGGCAGAATGGCACGGACGTATTTTGTAATCTCTGACTCAACAATAAGGACCTCTTTTCATTTTAGCTTCTGCAGATTTGCCCCATTCTTGTTAGAGGCAGAAGAATGTGCATGTTGTAATTTACTCAGCCGTTCTCCTCGCTATGGACCTGTGGTTTTTCCAGTTTGCTGTTATTATAAACAATGTCACATTGAACACTCTTAGACTAATAACTTTGCTGACGTGTGGTAGGTAGCATTTTGGGGGATTCCTAGAAGTGGGATTTCAGAATCAAATAGTGGAAACATTTATGTGGAATAAATACGGCCACATTTTTATTTCAGGGGCAGGGGGGAATCTGACCATTTTATTTATTTTTTAATGTACTTTTTATCGTATAGTATTACAGATACCTCTCATCCCTCTCCCCTTTAAATCCCTCCTTCCAGCCCTACCCAGCCCCTTCCCAGGTCGTCATTACCCTATTGTCCATGTCCATTGGTTATGCATATAAGCATATAAATTCTTGTCCCCCCAACCCCACATCAAGGTATGTCAGTCTATTCCATGCCTCCATGCTTCAGGTCTTATTTTGTTGGTCAGTTCATTTTGTTCATTAGATTCCACAAATAAGTGAGATCATGTGATATTTATTTGTCTTTCTTCAATTGGCTTATTTCAGTGAGCATAGTATTTTCCAGGTCCATCCATGTGGTCCCAAAGGGTAAGAGGTCCCTCTTTTTCACAGGTGCATAGTATTCCATAGTGTAAATGTCCCACAGCTTTTTTTATCCACTCATCTACTGATGGGCACTTGGGCTGTTTCCAAATCTTAGCTATTGTAAATAACGCTGTTATGAACATAGGAGTGTGTATATTCTTTCTGAATGGTGTTTTGGGGTTTTTAGGATATATTTCCAGAACTGGGATCACTGAGTCAAACGGAAGTTCCATTTTTTATTTTTTTGAGGAAACGCCATACTGTTTTCCATAGTGGCTGCACCAAGCTGCATTCCCATCAGCAGTGTACCAGTGTTTCCTTTTCTCCACATCCTTGCCAGCACTTGTTGTTTGTTGATTCGTTGGTGATAGCCATTCTGACAGGTGTGAAGTGATATCTCACTCTGACAGGTGTGAGGTGGTTTTAATTTGCATTTCTCTGATTAGTGACTAGAATTTTTTCATATGTCTCTAGGCCAGTGGTTCTCAATCTTGGCTGCACATTAGAACCATAACAAAGAAACAGAATTTCCAGAGGATGAAGCCCAGAAATCAGGATTTTAAAAAGATTCCCAGGTGATTCTAATGTGCAGCCAAGGTTGAGAACCACTGCTCTAGTCTAGGCCATTTGTATGTCCTCGTTGGAGAAATGTTTATTCAGGTCTTCAACCCATTTTTTAAATTGGATTGTTTGTTTGTTGTTGAGTTGTATGAGTACTTTATATACTTTGGATATTAACCCCTTATCGGATGTATCATTAGCAAATATGTTCTCCCATGCAGTGGGCTTTCTTGTTGTTTTGTTGGTTTATTTTGCTGTGCAGAAGCTTTTTATTTTGATGTAGCCCCATTTGTTTATTTTCTCCTTAGTTTCCTTTGCCCTAGGACAGTGGTCAGCAAACTGTGGCTCGGCATCCGTGGCTCGCAAGCCACACGAGGCTCTTTGGCCCCTTGAGTGTGGCTCTTCCACAAAATACCAGCTCTTCCACAAAATACCGACTTCTGTGCATGGGCCACGAAGTTTCAATCGCACTGTACTTGCGCGCCCGCACGTGGTATTTTGTGGAAGAGCCACACTCAAGGGGCCAAAGAGCCGCATGTGGCTCGCAAGCCGCAGTTTGCCAACCACTGTCCTAGGAGATGTACCCGTAAACATATTGCTATAGAGATGCCTGATGTTTACTGCCTATGTTCTCCTCTAAGACATTTATGGTTTCATGCCTTACATGTAAGTCTTTTATCCATCTTGAGTTTATTGTTTTTGTATGGTGTACTAGTAAGTTGGTGGTTTAGTTTCATCCTTTTGCGTGTGTCTGTCCAGTTTTCCCAGTACCATTTGTTGAAGAAACTGTCTTTATTGTATGTTCTTGCCTCTTTTGTCAAATATTAATTGACCATAATGGTGTGGGTCAATTTTGGGGGTCTCTGTTCCATTCCATTGGTCTTGTGCCTGTTCTTGTGCCAGTACCAGGCTGTTTTTGGTTATAATGGCTTTGTATTATGGTTTGACATCTGGTATTGTGATCTCTCCTACTTCATTCTTCTTTCTCAAGATTGCTGCAGCTATTCGGGGTCTTTTGTGGTTCCATATAAACTTTTGGAGTATCTGTTGCCACATTTTTTTCTAAAAAACTATCAGGTGCCAGTAGGATATAATATTTGTAGTATTTGTTTCCCTCTACCCTCCTAACAGTACTATTAAAAACTTTTTTTTTGCCAATCTACTGTATGAAATACTTTGTTTTACATGCATTTATTAATGAGATTGGGTACTTTTTCATCCACCTAGGAATTGTGTTTCTTCTCTGAGTTGTTATTTATGGCAGTTGCCGATTTTGCTATTCATGTCTTTTATTATAATTTATAAGAGCTCAATGTGTATTGGGATATTAGCTCTTTGTCCTGTACTGACAATGGTTCCTCTGGTTGTCCATTAACTTTATTTTTAAAAAGTGTTTTTATTGATTTGAAAGAGAGAGGAAGGGAGAGAGATACATCAATGTGAAAGAGAAACATCATTTGGCTGCCTCCTGCACGCCCCCTACTGGGGATCGAGCCCACAACTCAGGCATGTGCCTGACCCAGAATTGACCTGTGGCCTTTTAGGTGCATGGGATGATGCTCAACCACTGAGCAACACCAGCCAGGCCATTCACTTTATTTCTCATGACACTACTGAACCCAAGCAGATTGCATCTTTAAATGAAGAAAAGAAAGAAAACCATTTTTAAAATGTAAGTCTTTGATCTATCTGGAATTGTGTTAATAGAAAGAGATCTGATGGTACTATTTAAAATTTTCAACGTTCACAATTGCTAGCTACTTATGCCAGCATCATTGATTGAATGGTTTATTTTCCCCTGCTGACTTGAAATGTTCCCATTCCCATAAGACATTGGTTTATTTCTATACTATTTCATCCCATTGATTTGCCAGTAAAATACTCTTGATTTTTGTTGTACTCTAAAACTTTCAGTATCTACTGGAGCTAATCTGTTGTGTTCGCTGGGATTTTTCTGACCATTATCCCATGCTGAACCCTCCAAAGTACTTGAGAGTCCTCTCTTGACCTTTCCCCACCCCCCGGCTCCAAAAATGCTATTGCGATATTTACTAGAATTGCTTTGGAGTCAGCGATACAGAGAAATGACCTCTTCTATCCAAGCATGTAGTGTTTACCAATTTGTCTATGTTTTGCCTCAAAGGGTTTAGTTATGTTTATGTAGGTCCTACAGATCCCCCTTAACACCTAGATTTAATGTTTCCGTAGCTACTATGAATGAGCTTTTCTTCCATTCTGTTTCATGACTGGTAAGTCTGACAAGTTCTCCCCATTTATTTTTATTAAAGAAAATAAAATGTAGAAATCAGAAAATAGGCATGTTTGAGCCCGTTTTTGTCATTTTACTGCAAATTTGTATTTAACATTTAATTACATTTAGTTCTACATTTTTTTAAAAAAGTTTCTTCTCCCGCTCTGTTTGGAGATAAACAGAAGTCTACTAGTGTTTTCTAAATTATATAAAACCACTTTCTGTTTATCCACCAAAGAAAATAAACTGAGTCTATTTACTCAGTCCATGAGAGAGAAAACAGATTAGTGTGTGTACCTACTCTTTTGCCATCTACCGGACTTCTCTCCATTTTCATTGGCATTTTGCCTATTATCATCTTTTAAAAATAGTATGTGGCTTTTCCCTCAAGAACTAGAATTGTTTTGTTGCCACAGTCAACATATACAGAGATCTGTCCGTTTAGTGAGACATTTGCCATCTCCTTCCACCCTCGCTTACCGTATTCTCATTTGCATCATGTGAACCACACTGGGACGTGCGTAGGTGAACAGTAACTCGTCTAGTGCCAGGGCTGCGCATGGGTCACTCCCAGCCGTGGTGCTGTCACCCCGTAGTGTCGGCCCTCATCACCAGGGCTTCATTGTGCGTCTATGGCAGCTGATGGGCTGGAAATAATAAGGGTGGGGCCGCCGCCTTAAAGCTAGCGATGAGTTATGCTCTTAATAACATTGAAAGACAAAAACTAAAAGTTGGGTCTTGTCTGGCAGCCTGGTGCCTGCCTTTTGCAGGTGCACGGTTGGGATCGGAGTAAATGACAGTTGGGGGAAGGGACTCGGTGCCCCATGAGGGTTATCAGGACATTTGTGAGAAGGGGGTCTGTTTCTGTGTCGTCTTCGCTCCATCTGCCTAGCGATCATCTCGTTCAGATATTTTTTCTAACAGTGACAACTCTGGAAATGTCGAACTAATTATTTAGTGTGATCACGTTATACAGGAATAAAACGTGGGCAGAAATGGTGTTAGAAAACTGAAAAGTAGATGTTCCCAGGCCCCTGTGCTCATGAAAATAACCCTCGACGAGATGGCTGCTTTCAACTAAAGCGAACACACATAGTACAGAAGAGAGAAAATGCAACTGTTTTTCTCTGGAAAAAGAAACAAGTTTATTGCATATGTAAATCAATAGATATCTTTTATAAAAAAAGGTTAGAATAAAGATCTCACATTTGTAAAGGCACATATGAAACATTTCACAGCCATGACACAGGCAGTGAGAACATACACAATAGCAACTAGGACCAGTATAATGTAAATAAGACGTTATAAAAACAGATAGGAAACAGTGCAAAAAATACTGTCAAAAGTCAGTTTTATACACCGCATGACTGTGTACAAAACTGCCAAGCATAAGCTTATTTACTGATATAAAAAAGCGTAGGATAGCATGCATAGTTTTATTTAAGGCTTTTAATATTATTAAATTGAGAGGGAGTCTGTAACAAAGTCGAGCTGACATGAATATTGATAAACCACTTCCCCACTTAGGGAATGTCCTATGAACTTCTCACTCCCTCTCTCCCCTTACAAGTTGGTGATAGACTGGACTTCCATTTGTAAGGTGGCAACTCAGGATCCCAAGTCCCAACCCGGAATGCGTTTCTCACAGCAACAACCTATCAGGCGGCTAAGTTTCCAGGTCAGCCCTGGAAATAATAATAGCCAACCAGCTCGGGCTGGCCCAACCCGAGATTTCAGCGGCGCTGCAAGCCAGGCTTCTGTGGGCCGACCCACGAACCTTCAGAACCAACTGGTTTCTAAGCTGTCTATACCTCCTTTGGACTTGAAACCTATTCACTGTCAAGTGGTTTGAATGATACACAATGCACAACATTTTATAAAACACAGACCAAGGAAAGCATCAAAATACTGAAGTCGCAGAAAAACAGTCCAGTGAAACAAACTAGGTAAGCCTGTTATTTGAAGCAACACAAGTTACATAAGGTTATAGAGTCAATAGTCATCTGCATATGTAACCCTTTCTTTTTCCACTTAAGACTCCTCGAAGGAGTGAGCTATTCGAGGAACAAAGGAAATCCCAGGGAACCATCTCTACTGAAGAGGAACCTCACTCCTGAAAGGATCGAGTTAATGGATTTTGAAAATTCCAAGCAGTGGCAAGGAAGTTCACTGAAAGGGAACGGCAGTAACATTTTACCAGGTTCAAGTTGGGAAAAACAAATGGCTCTGAGTGACAGCTTTCAGCTCTTGGCTGGAGGTGACTAATTAGCTACCCTGCAGTTGAGGGAGGAGGGAGGCCCCTGAGAAGTGCCCAGAACGCCGGGCACCCCGGCCCTGAGAGCCACCTCCCTAAACTCAAAGCAGGATTCCTGAGATTTCAGCAAAACAGCACCACCCCAGCGCACACACAGACCCCAATCCGATCTTGGCAGCTTTCTCCTTGAAACTGTGTCAGGTGAGGAGGCCTGTGCATTGCCCTGGAGGTTGGGGAAGAAGAATGGGGTAAGCTAGAGAGTGGATGAGCAGCGTGCCCTGCCCCTCCCTGGATGACAGATCATAAGTACGTTCTGTGGAAAAGCCTGAGGAGCCCGGCGCCGTCCCTGATTCTGCCTAGGATGGAGGGAGCATGGGTGCAGGAGGAAGCTAGAAACAAACTCATCGGACCACACACACCATGTGCCAAGTGCAGCCGCTGGGAATCCATGTAGGTTACCTTGAAAGGAACAGCGGGCGCTGCTGCAATCATCACTGTAAACAGGGCCGGCAACCGAATCCATCCTGGCTTTCATCTCTCGTGCTGAGTGGGGGCATCGCCCAGGGGGAAGGAGTGGCTGCTGACAGCTTCCTAGCTGTTTCCATTCTGGTTATTTCCATCTGTCAGATCTTATACTCCTTAAAACTACATAACTTTTAAAAATTAAAATCCGATTTCCTAATTACATCGTTTGGAGAGGTTTAAGAGTGGTTCTCTATGACAGATGAAACCATTCGGTAGGGGTCACCCTGACAGGGAAGGGGAAGAAATGGTGTGCTGCCGGAGAGCAAGGCGAGGTCAGCACAGCCCTGGGTGAGTGAGTTGCTCTTGGAATGAAGAGGGTGACGTCACAAGATAGTCCCACCCAGCACCCCAACAAGACAAGGAACGATTGCAGTCACTGTCCTGATACCTCCCAGTTCTGGGGCCCTGATCATAAACACTAGCATAAAGGGCAGGAAAGAGGAATGAAGATGCCCGGGAGCTGTGACTGCCAACACCGGGAGCCACATGGAGGAGCAGAGCCCCCTGCTCATAGGACTACCAGGAAGGCATCAGCTACCAGCAAGCGAGGGGAGGCGGGATTCCTGAGCAGCAAACGCAGGCACCACCAGAACCCATGACACCACCAAGCTCTACGCCAACAGTGAAGACGCGGTTTAAAACCACACACAAGGGTGACACAGACGCCAGCGTGGCCGCCCGTCTTTCCCAGGGAGGCCACCGCATGGTTTCTGGCCGCACAGAAAGGGAGGTAGGGAGCAGGACAGACATTCTGGAGTCCAGAAAATTATTTGCGAATGTTTTGGTAACAACTTCAGGGCTGATCTAAAAGCCTCCCCCCTTTCTCTCCCCCTTCCTAGCTCCGCTCTGGGCAAGCTTATGGCACTTTCTGGAAAGAATGATCCTGAGGGCCCAAAGTGTGGCAGAAGGAGCAGTGACTTCTACGCAGCTGCTTGTCAAATTCGGGCTGCACTTCAACTCCAGCCCTGCTGCCTTACAATGCAATGCCCTTGAATTTGCTGTTAGAACGGGAGGGCAGGCGGAAGCTGTGAACAGGAGGAACTGATGTGCACCCTCCCCTTTATGGCACCAAACCGCACAATCCCAGGCTCATGGGCATTTTTACAGAGAACCTCTTAGTTTGGCCTTGAGAGCAACATGCAGATGCATTAAGCTGGAAAAGATAAGAAAGGTGGTCTTATCTGGATAAAAATGCTCACCCACTGGAGTTTATGGGTTGGCTGAATTGGAATGGGTACACCTCACATTTCTCCCAGGCACGTTGCTGCTATTTGCAACCGATGGTCACTAAGGCCTTTGCCCTCCAGAGTCTTAGAAACAGGCAAAGACAAGAACCATTCTGCTTTCTCGCTCAGAGCTCAAGGGAAGTGTCAAACACAACTGAGCGCCCTAGCGATTTCCACCCCACAGGGCCAACTCGTTTGTCAGTCACAGAGCTGTGGGCCACTGGGACACGTGTTCAGTGTCCACGGAAAACCCCAACTTCTCCCCTTGGAGGTGGTGCTAGGTGGGTTGTTGCTTTGCTCACAAAAAGGAATTACTACCTAGGAGCATGAGAAGTGTCTGATAAAAACCACAGGCAACGATACAAAACAGCAGCAGCAGAATCTTTGGCAAAACAAGAGAAAGCTGAATTCCCACAAAGGGCCAGCCTAAGAGCCCGACAGTGACTATTTGGTGCCTCTGGAAATGTCCTACACCAGGAGCCCACTATCCCTGACACAAAGGTGGAATGAGGGGTAGATGAACATGGGTCTGATCCAATCCCAACCCTTGAGTCTAAGCTCCCTGCACCTGCCTCCCACCCCAAGTGGTTGACGTATCTGCCCAAAAGAATCAATAACTATACCCATTTCCTCCGCCAAACACGCATTGGAAGTCGGAGAGAGATTAGAAAACATTCTGTGTTCTGACAGGCCACCTTCGGGGGTCGTACATCACGTTCCCTAACCACCGGGCTGAGGACAGCTAATACTGATTGCACATCCAGAAAAGACAGCATCGGAAAACCCCAGGGTGATGCGCCTGATGGCCAAGCCCGCCCATCAGAATCAACACGTGCTAACATCTCTGCAGTGACTCCCAGGCCCCACGAGATGGCCCACTCACCAAGTGAGGTGAGAATCACCAGAGCAAGACGGCACGTCCTCCCAGGGCCACGCTGCCCACTGCACGGGCCTCCGTGAGCTACAGCACTTGTTTGAAAAAAATGCCATATGGTGTGTTGGGATCTATACTACGTTGGGGGAAGAAACATTCTACAGACTAGGTTGATCCATGTTATTATAAGTAAAATATGGTCCAACCATTGGAAATTTCATCTGGGTCAACCTATGGTAAGCTGGGAAAGATCAGAAAAGGAAGCAACTGGATAAAAACGCTGACCTGCAGTACCCACTGGAGCTTATAACTGAACCACAGAAGCTGAGAGCAAACAGGATGAAGGTGAGGTGAGCACTGGGCGAGCCCGTGGTCAAATCTCAGAGAGCAGCCCACAAGGAAGGAGCCGAGATGGACAAGTGACTCCCTAGGCAAACAATGGCATGCATTACAGTTAAAAATGTAGTTCCTCTTCTCAATCTAGGACCACAAAAAGTATAAAAGTGAGATTACCTGTATTGGGGCTCCTCGGAAGTCTATCCCTCCGAGTATTCCATGTGGAGAAGTTTTCCCCTTCCTGATCTTACTGCTCCCCTCCAACGGAGGCGAGGAGCCCATTCCTCTTTATTGTCCTATGAAGAAATCAATGTGTGATACTTCCTGTCTGGGGAAAGAGGTGTCTATCAATGGAAATGCTACTGAAAGGTGGTGTCTCCTTGGAGAAACCCATTAAGCTCACAGGCTCAGCTCAGCTCCAGGATGAAGACATCAAATTCCACCCACAATCCAGCGACCGTACTGAACAAGGACAAACACAGGGCCGATGCATCCAGATGAGTGTGGATTAGAGAAACAAAACATTTCACCTGGAGAACTTCAAAACCAGAGGCCTGGGTGTGTTTGAGGGCTTTGTTGTTGAGAAATTTTTTAATTTTCTCTCTTCAAACCCAAACCACAGCAGCAGACTCCGACAGCCCCAGCTTCAGACTTGGTACATCATCAGGAACTCATTCCAAAAGCTCTAACTAGATAACTAATTTAATACACTTTGCTTCAAGGTTTATTCCTTGGCAGGCTTCCCAGATACAAAGCATCTCTGGGCAATGATTATGCAGATGCCACTGGAAGAACTTTAAGTGGCGGCCGCTAATTGAACAGGAGAGGGGCTGGCATTTGCTGGAGATGTGAAAAGGAATGCAAAATGTGCTGAAGGACCCAAAGCACTTGTTTTTCAAAAGGAAGGATGGGGCATAACTTTCAATGTTTGCCTTTGGGTTTCAACATAAACTTTGGCTAGGAAATTGGATATTAAACCCATTTATTTCCTGCATTCACGAATACTCCTGGAGCACAAGGTGGCAACAGCGGACGGGTTGAAGAGGGGACCGTGAGTGATGAGCGCAAAGAGACAGCAGATCTACGGGCTGCCCACACGAGACCTGTCAATGGCACCCACGCTGGGGCCCACGAGATGAAAGAGACATACTGGCAGTCCATCAAACAATAAAGCAGGCAATTGTTTGACATCCCTCACAGCAGAATATCCCAAGGATGGACTGTATCTAAGGAAAGGAAACCAATACCTCTCTGCCTGTGGATGATCCAAGTCCTGAGCGCCCGAGTGAGGGCTGTGAGCTCTGTTCCGCTGAAAATACGTGGCGTGCTAATAGCTTTCTTTTTCAGAATATAGACCCAAATTCCGGAACCTACAGAGCTCGGCTGAATTCTAATTCTTGACTGATTCTTTAGATCTTGGGGTAGAAGACAAAAGGCTCTCCATCACCAGAGACTCTGAGTCTAACGAAGAGAAAAATCATACCATCTGGCCAGATGTGGAACTGAGTTGATTCCTAAGCCAAAGCAGTTCCTGGGGACCTGTGTCCACACCCATCCGTTGGTGTGCGGTGACCGAAGTTACAGAGGCACACTCTTCTTTCTGGTTGATTTGATGCCTTCTTTCCTTGTATTTTCAGCCCAAGAACAGATAAAAAAGAAAATAAAAGCAGCAGTGGAAGAAGGCCTGGTAGACCACCACAGTGATCAATTCCGAGAACAAAACAATTTAAGTTACATTCAGGAAAAACTAGAGAAGAAAATCCCCCCCAAATTCAGCAAGATGGAAAGTGCGTGGAATATCAGTGTACTAACCTAAGAAATTCCGAAGCACAGGGACCAGTGAAGGCCAGGAAGAGACAAAGTGAGGACCGAGCTTCACTGAAGGCAGCGTTGACACCGCAAATGACCAGAGTGAGTTGTATGGAGAAAGGAGGGACCACCATGGGGCTCTGTGCGAGATGAACTCCACCACGTTCATCATGGGGGCCAGGACCGAGTGGGCTGAGTTTTACTCTCACAGACCAAAGTCTAGAGACGGCACCAGCACAGCGGGGTCACACTTGGTGTGGCTCCTGGCCAGGGCCCCTGCTGAGTGTCAAAGAGCCCCCATCAGCTTTCTCAAGTGTCTCCTTTATAACCTTTCCAATGACTTGGTGGCTCATGGACGGACAGAATACCCCCCAGCACCTTGACCTTCAGGCCCCCGTCCAGCACGCCCATCCTAAACAAACACAGGATCAAGGGCCTTCCTGTCTCCTTTCTCTTCTCACTCTGGTCCATTAGCTTCTCTCAATCAGGCAAGAAGCCGAGCTGCACAGATGGCCTGGCCCAGGGCCTCCAAGGCCACCAGCCTGGCACCCACCGAGCAAATGAGGAGCTGCTGCAAATACTGAGGGTGCGGCCCCCGGCAAGGAAACACAAGCTCCAGAGCCCAGATTAACGGGTGGTCGAGAAAGAGGCAAACAAAGCTCCCCATTCAGCCTGGGCAAGGATTACTCCACTGTAAATGCAGCCTTTCCTCTGGCTGCTCCGGCTGTCACTCAAGGTTAGAGGAGGGACTGGGGGAAGACTACTGAGGGTGAGGACAGAAGGAAGAAGGGAGGAATCATCCTGTCCATCAAGCCTCCCGAGCCCAAAATATAAGAGAAGAGCGTTTTTTCCCTCAGAAAAAAAGGTCTTGGCCCTCATCTTTACATTTTAGGATAAACTCATTTTCTTGCCATCTTTGATTTGGACATGAGCAATTAAGCTGATGAATTTCAGGGTTGGTTACCCATCTGGCTGCAACTTCACCAGAGATGTGTTCCCTTCTGCCTCTGTCCCCCAAATGGTCCACCAGGCGACCTTTCCCTACCAACGTGTTACAATGCAGATCGGTCAAAATGTGGTTCAAATGAAAAGCACTACATTACTGTGAAAACTGCAATTACAATGATTCACACAAGTTATTCCAAAGGGGGAAAAAATAAATTATCTCATATAAAATAATACATGATGTTTATGAAGAATCTTGGCTCCCGTGATGAGGGAGCCTGTGTCCTGCCGGCTCCAGCCACCCGTGCCCTGCTGGGGGAGCAGGCTTTGTGTGGAGGTGCCTCCCCATCTGCAAGATGGAGCTGGGTCCCTCTTCCAGGGGCTGGGTCCGGGGGTTAAATGAGTCTGGAGTTTTGGAGGAACTGAATGAGGACCTGGTAGACAAACTTGTACTGAGCGATGGTCTGGATCATGAACATCCTCTGCTCCCGGAGGAGCCGCAGCATCATGGGCACTTCCACCTTCTGCAAGAAAAGAGAAAAGCACAAGGTCCTGAGATGGGGAGCTTCCCTTGGGTGTTTCCTCATTCCTTCATCCAAGAAACATTCCCTCACTGCCCGTGTGCAGGTACAGGAGACAGCAAAGGACTCAGCCCCCTGTAGATTTTTCCAAAGACTCAATACCAGCAGTTGGAGAACCTGGTTGGCATGTACCACTGATGTGCTATTGTATTTTATTTTTAATACTAGAGGCCCGATGCATGAAATTCATGCAAGAATAGGCCTTCCTTCCCCTGGGTGTTGGCACCGGCTTCCCTCTGGCACCTGGGACCCGGGCTTCCCTCGCAGCCCTGGGTTCGTCTGGAAGGTCGTCCGGAAGGACATCTGGTCTAATTAGCATATTATGCTTTTATTATTATAGATGTTTTTATTTCAAAGAGAGGACGGAAGAAGGAGAGAGAGATGGAAACATCAATGATGAGAGAGAATCATTGATCGGCTGCCTCCTGCACACCCCATATTAAGGAATGAGCCTACAACCCGGGCATGTGTCCTGACTGGGAATAGAACTGTGACCTCCTGGTTCATGGGTCAACACTCAACCACTGAGCCACACCGGCCAGGGATGTGCTATTTAAAATACAGACCAGTGTGTTAGAGAAAACATAGAGGCTGGAGTTAAACCCGACTGGTATTCTCAACTCTATCATGGCCCAACGGTAGGATTTATGCCATCTCTTGCTCTTAGTTTCTTCACCTGTAAACAAGGATAATGGTGCTTTCCTCCAATGGCACAGTGGCCCTGCCCAGGTTAGTGATATGTCCTGGGCACTGACATGGGGTATAAGCAGTACCCACCTCCAGGATCACATAAAGACGTGCATGTAAAGCCTTGAGCACAATGTCTGCACACAGTTCTTAAGACCTCGCATGATCATCTTATAATGTTATGAAATGAACAATCACCTGCTGAAGCCACGCTCTACCATCCCTTCATCACCTGTGCCTCTGTTTCTCTGTGTTACACAAGGGTGCTAATAGGACCCTTCCCACAGAGTTAACTGTAAAGGCTTCTCAAGGTTGTAAAACTGCTAGAATAGTGCTGGCACATGGTAAACACTAACTACAGGTGAGCTGTTATCATATTTTCATTATTGTCATCATCATCACCATCACCTCCACTGCTGTTATCATATTTTCATTATTGTCATCATCATCATCATCATCATCATCACCATCACCTCCACCACCTCCACTTCCATCTCTGCCACCACCATCACCATCATACTACCTACACCCCCACCCTCTCCACTTCCATCCCCACCAGCACCACAACCACCGTCTCAATAGCCTGTAAGACTCAGCCCCAAGGACAGATGATCTGATACGGTGCAGTTTGGCGATAAGACCAAGAAGGGTCCCTTGGTCCTCAAGGAAAGAGTGCCCGTTGCCTTGAAGATTCACTCGCACAGGCTCTGATGTCCACTGGCCCTAACGCAAGGAATCAGGAGGCAGCTGATGCTTGCTCAGTCTCGCTTGGAAGGCATTTTCTCCTCCCTACTCTATGAAGGAGGGATAACCAACTCAGAAAAGCAGGAAGACCAAGCCATCTTGCTATTTGGCTGGGGATAACCTGGTCTTTGTAATGAACTCATCTGGGACAGACAGCTAAATCCAGGGGCCAAGAGAGGGTATTATAAACCATAAAACGTATGGGCATTAAAACGTGACAGGTAACATTCTGTGACCAAAAGCAACGGGCCACAAAGAGGCTTTTCGGAACAGCCTGGGTGAGTCCCCTCGCATCCCTCCCTCATAGGTGCTGACCTCACACATCTTTGTTTCAGGGAAAAGAAAAGGCATTTCATTACAAAATTAAAACTGCGTGGATTAGAGAATAAAACATAAAGGGGGTTAATCCAGAAGCCATGCAAAGGAGGCAGGAAAGTTTAGACAGGAAAATAATAGGACATACAATTTCATATTTGTCAAAAAAACAAACAAAAAATGAACGATCTAGACATGTTCCACCCTTCTCCCAAAATAAGGGCTTGGAGCTTACTCGTCAGGCCCGAAACAGAACAAAGTGGAGAACTTTTTTCGCCCTCACCAGCTACCAATAGCACTGATGGGAAACGGGCAGATAAGGCCAGCTATATTTGTGCTGGGGAAGGGAAGTGAAAAATGAGTCATCCAGCTATCTTTGAATATCAATGGGAACAGAAGTCCCTTTTGGACTGACCACGTTCCGGCAAAGAATGTTCTGGCGTGCGACTGGGCATTGAGGAAATCCGCTATGTTTGGACACACCAGAGAGAATTTAATCGCCCGAGCCCTCATCAAGTCCACGCGAGGCCCCAGTGGCCGGGTCCCTCCCTCGGTGCCATGCTGGCTCTGACATGTGCTGTGTACTGTCCTACTGGGCCAGGAACATCTGGTGATCAATGAGCCTTCGTGTCATCGCCTCACTGAGGCTTGGCCTTTGATGGGTCTCCGAAGAGCTCAAAACGGAACAATCCTTCATGTCAGACAAGATGGACAGAGTAGCTTCTCAAGTTGAAAAGGAGGACGGGGGAGCAGAGGTGTGCAAGGGAATGGAGACGAGAAGGGGAAGAAAGTGATAGGAGGGGGGAGAAAAAGACATGGGGGGAGGGAGGAGATGATGAGGCCCTTCCTCTGCCCCTGGAGCCCACGGTATGCTCAAGCCATAGGTCCCCTGGTTCCATTCCATCGTATCCCATCTCCCAGTGCTGAGTGGATTTGGGACTTGGAGGCAAGCTATCCACTCTACTAGAGACTTCCAGCAGTGACAGAAGCAAACAATCCAGAACTTCATGTGAGACAAAAGGATAAAAACTCACAGAAGATGATGAAACCTCTGTGACGCAATCTCAACTGATTCCACGAGGGGCATTTTGCTCATCAACAGAACGTTTGGTGTTTTCCAACACCAGGCCACATTATTCCGAACTCCCCTCCTCCTCCTCCTCAGCAGCACAAACATGCATCCTACAGACGGGAAGCTTCCAAAATGAACTTTTATAGGCAGGGAGTTTACAACCCTCTGAACATGTTTACACTTAACATTTACCGTTTTCCTGCAAGTTACACTATAACAAATTTCATGGGGAAGTAGTTAGTCTGACTTTCAAACCACGGATGGTAATGAGTAAATACGTATATTATTATATAAATTCCTTCGCAGAACGTGTGTTGTAACTTTCCCGAAAAACTACCGAACCACTTGGAAAGTGTCCTCGGATTCTCCAAGCTGTGTAATTTGGAAAATGACAGAACCTATGACACTTGAAGTTGGAGAAGGAAATAACAGG